TCATCACAAAAAATAAAAAATAAAATAATAATATTATTATTAATTATTGACCAAGTAAGTCCTTAGGAATATATCCCACAGAGCAGTTAGGGAAGCTCACAGAATTTATGAATTACACAAAATTTTCAGATATAGTAGAAAAAATACAATGCCTGACAAAATGGGATGATCAGAGAAATGTTAGTAAAGTCACATGGTCTATCATGCAGATCTTAAAATTATATCCTCAAAAAATATTCACAAACACCGGGCATAATGGCACATACCTTTAATCCCAGCACTCAGGAGGCAGAGGCAGGCAGATCTCTGTGAAATTGAGGTTAGCCTGGTCTACATAACAGTTCCAGGTCAGCTGGAGCTACAAGAAGACCCTGTCTCAATAAAACAAAAAAAACATTTAGAGACATTCAGAAATATTGAGAATGCAGTAACAAGCTTTATCTAATACATATGTGTGGCTTATAAAATAGTATATGAAAATTTACATGAATAATATCAGTGATTAAACAATTTATAAATAATCTCAAGATACTCCTTATTCTTTGATAGCTGTTTAACTTGCTATTGGGATGCACAGGTTCTGCTAAGAATTATAAATGGTACAATACAAATCGTGCAAATTATATGCAGTGTAGTAAGTCCTGTCAACCATATAGAACACAATGAAACCAAAAGTAGTAAGAACCAACTAAAAAGTAAAGGACAATGAACAGTCAGTCCTATAATAACATTTTTTCATATCAAGAAGTTAACAAGCTTGGACAAATGAAATCATGATAATTATTACAAGTAAACATCAGTAATGATGTGTTTTAAACAGGTCCAACCTGATTTAAAAACCAAATTAAGAAAATTTTAAAAAGTGAGAATAGAGAAATTGATACTTTCATTAAAAGAAAAACTAAGAAGGGGGCAGAAAGATTATAAGAGCCAGGGGAGGAGGTGGATGACCATAAAGAAACAGACTTACAGGCTCCTGGGATCTTGCTTATATGAACGTACAGCAACGATGTCAGCATGCACACAAGACCCATGGAAACTCGATCAGACAAAAACCACCAAAGAACTTGGGTAATGGGCAGTAGGCCACAACTTTGATGAGGAACTACTGACAGCTGATCACTGCTACGTGAAGGAGAGTTGATCTTTTTTCTTTTCTAAAAAAATATATTTTTATTTTGTGTATATGAGCATATTGCCTGCATGCATTTAAGTGCACCCCTGTCATGCAATGCCCATGGAGGTCAAAAAAAGGGCATTGGATCCCCTGGAACTGGAGTTACAGTTGTTGGCTGCCATGTAGATGCTGGGAATCGAACCTGGGTTCTCTGCAAGAGCTGTCAGTGCTCTTAACTGCTGAGCCATCTCTCCAGCTCGGAGATGATCATTTTTTAAGTGAGTGACACTAGATAGACTGAACAGGCTCCAGTGGATGAACTCACACTGAGGGACATCTGGATATACAAACTTGACTCTATAGGCCTTAACATCTATGACAAAAATGCATTAAACCCTGTAGGTGGGCTATGGGGGAGGTGTAAATAGGGAAGGGGAGGTTAAATATGATTAAGATATATGAAACCCACAAAAATTCTATAAAATATATTTAAATAAATATAAATAAAAACACTAAAAAATTAAAAATAAAAGAAATCTTTGAATCCAAATGAGTTGAATTAAAATTTACTTTTGCTACTTTAACATCCCTATTGCACTGGGGAGATAGCTCAGTCCACAAAGTGCACATATATTCAGCCCAAATATCCCATTGCCCCCTATGGTTAATAAAGTGTCAAACTGGCTGGACTGAGAAATGCTGAGATTTGTAAAGCACACCTGAGTATGTTTCCGAGAGCATTTCCAGAGAGAATTAACTAAGGTACCCTGAATATAGACAGCATTATCCCATATGCTGAGGCCCTTGATATAATAAAAGAAGTTAAAAAGAGAACCCACTAATGCAAGTGTTCTCTCTCTTTACTTTCTGGCTGCCACAAAGTGAGCTGCTTTGTTCCACTATTTCTTCCTTGAATGATGGACTGAATCTCTAAAAGTATGAACCACAGTAAATCTTTCTTCCCTTAAACTGTTTCCTTTACATATCTGTCACAACAATACAAAACTTACACAGCTCTTGTAAATGACAAGATATTTGCATCAACATCATATGATGAATGGGTCATGTACAATACAGAAATATTATACAAATGCTAAACATAATACATTAATATTTAATTAATAACATGTAAAGTTCTCTGAGCTCCAGGAACTCAAAACACTTCAAATGGGACCTTACTCCAACACACATGCACACACACACACACACACATGATAAAACTCTCCCAAATAAATAAAAATTCTCACACCATAAAAATTTTATTTTGAAGATAATGATTGTCAAATATTTTCTTTCTGTTTTGCTCTTTTAAAATTCTCAGTCATGGAGTGAGGGTACACCAGGGGAGGAGATGCATTGAGCGTGTATGAAGAGTACAGAGGGGGTGAAGAGGCCTTTGATAACTGAAGAATAAATAAATGAATAAATGAATAAATAAATAAATAAAATAAACAAGTGTCAATGATCTTGCTCATTATTGACTTGGAGGAATTCTATTATTTGGAGTTTCATTTTAATCATGCCTTTAATGAATCTATTTAACTAGAATTCTACTATAGGAAGGTAACTGGTTTAATGGGAAGAGAGGCTAAGATACACATAAAATATATGATAGAAATTGCCCCGAGGACTAGAGAGATGGCTCTGCAATTAAAATCACTTGCTGTTCTTGCAGAGGGCAGGTGCTCCAATCTAGCACCCACATGGCATCTTACATCTGCCTGTAATTCCAGGTCCAGGGGATTCAATGTCCCCTTCAGACTTCCGCGATCACTTGTGTACATGTGATACATACAAACTCACGTAGGCACAAACTTGTAAATAATAAATACACATTTTAAAAAATCAATTGGCTTGACAGAAACCTAAAAGGCAAGAAGCTAGACATAAAAAGGAGCATATCCTAAAATGGTAGTTGGAAAGCAGTTCTTTAGACTGACTCTGTTAAACCTACAGCACTAAGTTCCTAACCTACATTGGGTTAACATAATTGCTTTTCTCATAGTGCTAGCTCTGACTTTTAAGTTGGGCTTATTTAGGGCTTTAAAAAGAAGTTTCTCTAGTGGAGAATGTATGTGGTCCTCAGGAAGAAAAATAAATAAATAAATCCACTAGTGAGTAATAACTAGATAGCTTATTTTAAAAGATTTGGAGTCAAAGAAAGACAAAGAAAGATAATTCCTTTGACAAAAACAAATGCAGGGAAACATGTCTTTAGGGCCAAAAGCTGTATTCTAGATTTCCTAGAACATAAAAAAGCAGGTTTTCATAAATACTTAAGAGTTCTCAGTCTTCTGAAGACTACATTTTTCCTGAAAGAGCCATCAGAAAGATGGTTAATCAGCATCGTTCATCTTTAGATTGTCTCTAGTGTCTGAAATCCATTCATAGTGCAATGAGGTGTAGAGAATGAGCAACTGCTCCTCTGAGTGGCCATCACTGTGAGAAGTTACCAGGAAACCCATGCCCAACGTGTAAATGATTCATCTCCTCCTAGAAACACCAACCTTTAATTTCCACTGTCTAATTTCCATCAAAGTCTAAATCTGGACTAAGTACAACAAAAACTGTAAGATTAACAAGTCCCAGTTAAAATTTTATTTGCATCAATGCAATATGAAAAAATTCCAGTATAAATCAAATGTGATTTGAATTCTTATGGCTGAGAGTCTCCAACCTGGCTGCTCATGGCATATGCTTGATTTTAAAAAAAATATTTCTAATAAAAATATTTCAGAGCCATGTGTGTAGCATATACCTATAAACTTACCATTCAGGAGGCTGAGGCAGGAGGACTGACACCAGTTCGAAAACAGCCTTTGATACATAATGATTTCCAGGCCAACCTGAGCTACCAAGTAAGATCATGTCTCAAAAACAAACTAAAGCAAGAAATAAGGAAATAAATAATAGATTTCAAAACCTACTGAACCATAGTCTCCAAAATCTCATTACTCTTGTTTAAAAGTTTACAGGTGAATTCTGATAAAACTGGGGCACAGACACTTAGAAAATACTTCCTTCAAGAGTACTGTGATAGGATATGTATCATAGTACACAATTTTGAATCAGAATAGACAAGTTTGTAGCTTTCTACACCAATCTAGAAATTTAACCCAGAAATGAAGAGGTCAGTTACATGTAGCTGTAAGGATACTGTGAAGGTAGGCTTATATATATCATATTCAACATTGGCCAGGCTCTTAGCGATCATCTGAGTAGTCACCTTTTTTTGACGCAGAAAAATCTTCATCCGTGGCTTCATATACAGAATGCTACAAAATGCCTACAGAATAGTGAAAGGAAAATTATTATACCATATTACTAACATCGCTCCAAACATTAGTATCCAACTGAGTGTATTCTTGGCAAATATTTGGCACAGTTTCTATACTTGTTAAAATATATCAACTACCATGTTGAGATGATACCAACTATATTTAACTTAATTGCTTGAGAGTGGAGAGTGAAAAGGAATATTATTTTTATACAACTAAACTTCAACTTTCTTCTATGTTTTCAGGTTATAGGAAACTCTACTTTCTACTGTTAAGGAACTCTTCTTACTCACCCGTAAAGAATACTCTGTTTCTGGCAATTCAGAAGTTACACCACCGATCTCCTTTTCTTCAGGATCGAAGTCTGATACAAGGATATCATATTGATCTGTATCAAAGTCCAGCTCAGATTTTCCATCTTTGTTTCTGAGCAAAAGAGACAAGTATGAAATGAACAAGGACTGGCTCCAAAGGGGGCAGGGAGAATGCGCCAGGAACCCAGAAGAAAAGAAAATATGAGGCAATACCCAGGCATGTATTTTTTCCCAACTACCACTTCAGATGAGCTATAAACTTTGCAATCTGAGGACCACATAATATTTAAGGGTTATTGCTATTCTAAACCAACCTACTATGTTTCATAGCAGTGGTGATGCCAAGTTCATAAGGAAAGAAAATGTAATGTGGAATGTCAGTGTTCCGGTAAGTAGAATGGATATCCTCAAAGCAAGATATTAGAACAGATACCAACTTTCTAAGTGTTGCTAGACCCATCACAAATGGTCACTTTCCCCAAATGAACTTACTGAGGAATCTAAATCTACTTCTGCTAACTTCAGGAATAGTCTAAGAACTAATAAGAGACTAAGATTTCCCCCAGATCTAGCCCTAAGGCCTTAAAAGGTTAAAAGGAAAACATTGCTACAGAAGCAGCATATCTTTACTAGCCTTCTGGGATACTATGCATTGAATTATTGCATACTTATAACAACACTGGTACCCCTGCCATAAGGACCTTTCAGTTTTTTTTCTTGAATTTTTGTGAATTTCATATATTTTGATCATATTTAGATCCCATCCTATATCTGCACTTCCTTTCTAACCCTTCAAATTTCTGTATTCTAACGTGTGTGTGTGTGTGTGTGTGTGTGTGTGTGTGTGTGTATGTGTATCTATAGTGTCAGGTTTGTGTCCCCAAATGCCCTTCAGTGTGAGTTCATCCCCTGGAGCCTGGTCAACTTACTAAAAGTCTCACACTTAAACTAGAGGGACTCTTTCCTTCCCAGCAGCCATCTGGTGCCAATATTTCCTCACGTAGGGTTGGGTTTCTTATTCACTTTCCCATGCCTATGCTGGGATTTTTATTCTGACTTGAGCTTATGTGGGACTGGCATAAGGACCATTTTTAATCACAAGTCTTTTTCAATGACTTAGCTTTGGTCCATTCCAAGATCGTGGGAAACCCCACTAACTAATATCAGGAAAACAAATTAGACCTACATTTGTTCCTGGAAAAAAAAGCTAAAAAGAGAAAAATGGATATAGAGGAAATCTGTGTGTCAGAACAATAGTTTACAAAATTTGTTCTATGGAATAGTAGTCCCTGGATATGTTCTTAAATAAGAAAAAGAGAAATAAAAGTTGTGTGATCAAATAAAATTGAGAAACAATTCTTAGCCTTTAGAGTCATCTCAAGCCTTACCATCATCTCCTTCATACTCCAGGCTCCACAGGATGGGAACTATGCTGAAAACTTCTCTCTATTCTCAAAGCTGACTACAGTGCACTGTAGTGTGAAGCCTGTATAAAGGCCACACCACTTTGATAGAATAGTCTGAATTTTTTCAGTTGTGATTCTTAATCCCCCAGCACACTCTAATGTACTTGGAGGAAGGTCTCTGTCCTTCCTGCTTCTCACCTTCCCCATTGAAAAAAAGTCTGCAAAAACCTTAAAAATTCAGAAATAATGCTACTATTAATATTGCTCTTTTAAATTTAAGTATTTTAATGCACATTAACATATGAAAGTGGCTGAGAAGACATTCAGCAAAGCAATATAAGTTTGAAACCTGTGTTTCCCAAAATTACTTGACCATACAATCCTTTACATACATAACAACTATCCCCTATAACTGAGAAACAATGTACAAAGGGAAAAGTCTGTTTAATACATGTAAATCATTGGAGCTACTTCAGCAAAATGATCTACTGAAATATAAATTCTATTGTTATAGTTTTCCCAGTAGGGCTCATGAGTCCTTCTTACTTTTTGTTTTAAAACCTAGCTAAGAAATTAGACATACTACTTGACCTAAGGAGAAAAAAGATAAACATATTTGACACACTGTTCTATAAAACACACCAGTAATCTCTCTATTTTATATTAAAAGTTTTTAGAGTTTCAGTGTTTAAAATTTAATGCACTCTTCAATGTATTCTCTTTGCTATGTCAAAATTACAGGATGTATCATAGAGTGAGTAGCCCTTGATTGTTGTATTAGCTTAGAGATATATTCTCAATACAAGTTCATTACAGTTAAAATTGATCTGCTTCAAAGATTTTTGACTTTCACTACAGCTGCATTAAAAGCACTAATGCAGAATTTATTTTAAAATATTATGTTTATCACACTAATCTATTTCTCATGATTTATTTTAATTAGCTAATCTGAAAAATGACTATCCCCTATCTTAAAACAATGTCCATGAATATGAAATGGATATCTATAAAGATTTTGAATAATGTTGTATTGTCTTGACCATTTGTGGCCATAACCTCGGATCATTCATATTTTCATCTAACATACACGTACCATTTCACCAACCAGAACCACCATTTCAAGAGAATCAAGAGAAAGTTACAGAAAAATACACAAAAAGATGAAAACATGGCTTGAGAGAAGGCTCGGCATTTAAGAGCACTCGTTGGTTCCAGAGGACCCATTTTCAATTCCCAGCAGCCACATCGGGTGGCTTTCAAACATTTGTAACTCCAGGTCCTAGGGGATCTGATACTTCTGGCTTCCTTGGGCACCAATACTTGTGTGCACATACCCCTCATACACATAGTTTTTTTAAAAAAGAAAAATATGTCTCAGAATTTATCTACTCCTCCAGAAAATAATATTAAAATGCACTTTATCACACCACCTTGCTTATTAGGATCTAATACCCTTGTAATACCATACCTCCGGACATTCCAAATGAGAACACGGGTGCCTTTTTTGCCTGGGATGGCATCAAACTGAGACAGCAGGTCATTTTCACTGTTGAAAATCGAATAGTTCAAGATGGCTTCTAGGCTGGGCAAGGAATCTTCAGTAACAATCATTTTTCGTAAAACCAAATATAGTCAAAGAAAAAGTAACATCTTATGAGGACATTATTAAGAAGTAAGAGTCATAATGAAACCAATTGGGGCACCAAAAAGACATGAAAATAGAAGGGGGACTAGCTGGGAAGAGGAAGAGGATCAATGGGAGGGGGAGGGAACAAGAGAGGGTAAGGGGGTAAATATGATAAAAATACATCATATGCATGTATGAAATGTCACAATGAAGCCCATTATGTAATTATGTATAATTAATATATGCTAGTAAAAACATAAAAAGACTGCCTTTTGGGTCATGTTTAGACAAAATTATACACACAAAAGCAAGAGCATTACTGCTACAGAAAAAAAGGAAGTGGAAAATGGAGAAAAGCTGTAGATTCAAATATCAAAATCAGCTATCTGCAAAATTCAGCTTCAAAGATGCAATGTAAACAAAGCGCTTTATCAAATAGAGCAAAGGCCAGAATTCTTAAACTATTGAGAAGCAACAAGTCCAAGTCTTTCTGCTATAGTGCTCCTGTCAAGGCAAACTGCTAAGTAGTACATTTCTAGGAGTAGCAACTCAAATGTAGTTAGCCCTTTTTTGGTTTGCATAGTCTGCACATTTAATCACTTTAAAACCTCTAACATTATCTCATGTCCATTAAATAGAACCAACAATGCTGGGCCTGTTTAAATTACGAGGAAAAAAATCACTGTGTACCAACTCAGTATCTTACAAAACCAGCTGGGATGGCCAGGAGGGAATGGGCAGGAGAAGAGGGGGCACCCATGGGCAGGTGGCTGGGTACCAGGAAGGATTGGAGAAAAGAAAAGGGAGCTTCCAGGTGGAAGGGGACTGATTGTCCTAATAGGAGGGGTGCAGAAGACACATCAGAAGACACGGTTTGGGGGGCCATCATAAGTCAGTGTTTTCTCCACCAGGACATAGTGTTAGAAGGGGCTTGGTGCCCCCATGGGCCGACCCCTGGCACTTGGAGAACCAGTGACCTATAAGTCCTTGGCACAAGCCTCATTTGAAACCCTGAAAATTTTACCAAAGGGTAGTGGTTGGTGAAAGTTAAATTGTATAAAACAAACTATAACAGTGAGAATTTCAATACAGCAAAAAACATGTATAAGCTACTTTCAATGTTCCACCAACTTTAAAAATATTTAATAGATGGACATTTCAGCTACATTTAAGACATTTGACTATATCTTTAAATATGAAAAAAATATTTGAAACATGAAATATCAAATGACAGATGGATTTGACCTGGAGAAGAAGTTCCTGTCAAAATAGTCAGTCAGATTAGACTGGCACTTAATTGATAATCTCCACTTCCAGAAAGGATATTACTTTGCTGGCTGAAGGGAACAATTGGCACAATAACTGCTTGTGCCTCGATGCATTCCAGATAGGTCTGTGACAGGAGTCCAACAGTGAGAGTACCCCCATTCTTAGTGAAGACAAGAGCATCCTTTCCTAGACGCATGGAACCTGATTTGAAACCATTACCAAAGACCCCGATGGGACACTGGCTCTTCTTTATTACTTTATCTGTAAATCCAAAGCTGAAATCACACAAGGAAAAAGAAATGAGAAAGGCAAAAAGCATCCTAAAGACAGTTGGCAAGGAAACTGTTTGGCTTACACATAGAATACTCGTAAAAAAATATCCTTTTTAAAATTTTTTTAACTCTTTTTTTGTACTTCCAGGCAAAACATAGGAAATTACTATTGGCAGTGAGACCAATTTTCCAGTGTAGCTTGTGTATACTTATATAGTCCTAGGTGCTGGAGTCACACTTTGTAAATGTACAGCCCCTACTTGCTAGCAGTGGGAGCCAGAGAAGGCCTTGTGCAGCTGCCTTCCTTGTCTAGATAAATAGGACCTGACTGCTAGAAGTTGGGGTAATGTGAAAAGGGTACTTACCTGGAGAGGATCATAGAAGTACCAGATAAGGGTACTAACTGAGATACTGGACTAAGCACCTCCTAATCTGGTTATATCACCGTGTAGAAATCTGAAAGAGATCATGTATCTTGACAAATTCAACTCCCCACCCAAAGGATAACACTCCCAATTCTAACCCTCTGGTCCATCTGCTCAGACAGTTCACTGGAATGTGGCCAAGAGATAAAAATAGGTAGTTCTGCCTGTGAATATCTGCAAACAGCTGCGGTATAAAGTCTCTCTTGTTCTATTAAAGGCTTCTCACTGAGTCACCTCAGCAAACTCTACAGTCCCTTTTCACCAGCTTCACCTGAGACCCAGAACCCTTCCCTTTCATATGTTATCCATTCAGATACTCAAATACACACCAAAATAAGAGAATGTAAACATTTAAACACATGGAATCTATAAAATGATCTTCTACTTATATCTCCCCTTGCCACAAATAACACTAATTTTAAGGATTATATGTCTCCAGATTGCCTAGTTTTACAATATGTGTAATACCATTAGTGTGATATATACTGAATGCCTGAGTTATGCATTTTGCTAAGCACTGGAGATACACATGTTAATAAAAGAGATATGGAGCTGGAGAGATGACTTGGCGGTTAAGAGAAATGGCTGCTCTGACAGAGGACCTGGGTTCAGTTCCCAACACCCATATGGCAACTAACAACCTTCCATAACTCCAGTTCCAGGGGATCCAATGCACTTTTATGACCTCTGTGGGCATTGCATGCATGTGGTGCACTTACATATATGCAGGCAAAATACTCATGCACATAAAATAAAGAATAAGGATAAAACAATCTTAAAAACATATACTATTTTTGCCTTCACAGCTCATAGTCCACAGGATTTCATATATTACAGATTAAATAATTCTCCTGTATTAGTAAACCAGACATGCTCTGAATATCACAACTGATCAGCTTCCTTATAACTTTACTCTTTTTTGCAGGGAAGAAGGCTCATGTACCTGCTTTCTATTTCCAGAAAATTATTATAAAGGGGACAGCTTTCAATTTTTTATTATACAGTATTATACAATAATACCATTATGCATTCTTCTAGAGATCTGTGCACCCTGTAAATTAACATAATATCAAAAAATAATTTGGTGGGATAATCCTCTAAAAAGAACAAAAGAGCACTAAGTTATTGATACCTTTGGGCCTGAGTGATTCTAGGTTATAAGACTTATAAATTGATAAGATTCTGATACTTTCATTCCTCCTGTAAAAGAATTGGCTAGAAAAGACAAGGTCATTAGAGGATAAAGTTATACAATATATTTGAAATATATTAATTATAAAGTAATAGTTATCTTTAATTTTAAATTGACTATAGAATTCATTCCAAGAATTGTCATGTGCTGTTCCCTTTTTGGCTTACTTCATATCTAATGTCACATATAATGTCATGTGCTTCATAAACAGGACTCTTACCTGCCACGTGAAATGTATTTGTATGTTATTTGGATTTAGACTTTTTCTAGTAACACAAAAATTTTCAGTTGGGGGGTCAAGAGAAAGTGGTAAAACAGAGAAACCTTCAATTTGTTATTTTCTAGTGTCCTTTAGCATCTATCAACCCATTTTTCCCATCATAGGTATAAGTTCTCATTGTATTAAGTTTGAGATCAGATGATGATAGAAGGCTTTGAAAAGTAAGTAATAGAGCAGAAAAAAGACAAGAATACGGAGAAGAGGGATGGACACTCTAGGTTTTTTTTTATTGTTTTGTTTTTTGTGATGTTTCACCAAGCTCTCTCCATGTGTTCTTTTATTCTACCAAAGTTCCCACGTTAGGCATTCTATTTAACTACAAATTTGTATAATAGATGCCAGTACCAATCAAACACCTGATATAAAAGCACTCACCACATTTAATGATAGAATTGTAGAGGTAAATTTCACATAGTATCACACAGCTACAAATATTCAAAAGAGCTATCTTAACTTAGGTGGTTTATGTTGACAACATCAGTACTGCTCTATTCTCTCATATAAGAAACAACATTGTTTATATGCAAAGAGACTTGGAGAACAGCATTGTTATGGAATACAAGAACACAGCAACTTCTTCTTGAATACCTTAAGATTTCAGGAATCTAGACTCTAAGCAGAGCAATTTAAGTTGGGATGCTGACCAATGAAGCAAGCTTTATCAAAATGCAGGGAAATATAAGGGCAGGTATTTACATTTTTTCCCTAGGTGTAGTGGTGATATAATATGTAAGTACTATAAATGCTGTTTTGGAGTGGATGTACTATGATACGTGATTCTGAGTAGATGCAGCAAAGACCTTGAATCTGTGACTCTGTGCTTCTTTCTAATCGGGATGCTGACCAATGAAGCAAGCTTTATCAAAATGCAGGGAAATATAAGGGCAGGTATTTACATTTTTTCCCTAGGTGTAGTGGTGATATAATATGTAAGTACTATAAATGCTGTTTTGGAGTGGATGTACTATGATACGTGATTCTGAGTAGATGCAGCAAAGACCTTGAATCTGTGACTCTGTGCTTCTTTCTAATCTTGACCTTTTGTCACTGAACTACATACTCAGTCTAGATTCTTTTTAATTTAATTTTCATGGGGTTCTTTGTTTATGAAAAAAAATGTTGTTTCAGGTACACACCCTATTTTAGCAGCCTGAAAATAGGAAGACTGGATTCCGACAAATGTTAAAGGTCAAATAGAGCTGTTATAGGCATAATAATTTTGCACACTTTGCACAATGACTTCTATTAGTTTTTCCAAATACAAAAGAGATAAGTTAATAATGAAAGTAGAAAAATTGATATACATAATAGCAATTTAAAAAGTTACCTCTAACGTTCAATTATTTAAAAATAATGTGGTGGACTGGAGCTATTGGTCTGTTGGCACAGTGCTTGCTGGTCATATGCAAGGCACTGGGTTCAATCTTTAGTACTACTATGAAAAAAAGATTGTGGAAAGTAGAGTCTTTGGTTAGATGTTAGGAGTAGACTAAATGATCTCTTTTAAATAAATGATTGTCTTTTAGCTGATTTAAGTTTGTATTAAGACACAATCACAAGTAAAATCCAGTATATATACTACAATAGGGACTTATTAACATAGGCTTCTAAACTAAAATTTTAAATATAAAGAATAATTGTTCAGGGGAAATTAATGAGGAATATATTTAGTGTGACAGGGAAAATGCTATGGCTACAGAAGATTCTGTCTGCTTTGACTTCTTGGGGAAGGAACAAAATTTTGAATGGATGACACTGATTATTCATATTTCAATTAAAATGTCATTTCCTGGCCAGCAAGATGACTCAGCAGATAAAGGCACTTCCACTAAGCCTGACAACTTGTGTTCAATCTCCAGAACCCATGTGGTGGAAGGAGAGAACTGACTCCTGAAAGTTGTCTCATAGTCTACACACACACACACACACACACACACGCATGCACGCACACTGGAGCCCATATATTCTGTCATCCCTGTTACTGTCCACTGTGTTGTCAGTGCCCCCAGCCATTCCCCAGTGCTTGTCCATCTGCTGAATCTAGTCAGCCTATCTAGAGATCCATGAAATGGTTACACACACACAGAGAGAGAGAGAGAGAGAGAGAGAGAGAGAGAGAATAAATGTAAAAGTTTTTTTTAAAAAATTTCTTAGCTAGACTAAATCTGTCTGTGCAATGTTCTAAAAGAAATAGTATCTTTCTTTCCTAGCACTTCCCACCGAGTAGAATATAGCCTACTCACTTGTAGCATGAGCGAGCAGGCTTCTCTTTCTCACTAAACTAAACACTTCTGAGAGCAAAGATCATGTCTGTCTGGTTTACTGCTGACATGCTTTGTTCGTGACATTCATTCATTCATTCCATTCTTATTCAGTAAGAATTTATTAAACGAAAGAATAAATTTGACACAAAAATGTTATTTCCAAATCATCCTCTTCTTTCCTCCTCTCTAATGACTATACCAACTTTCATATAAATAGTTCCACAGACAAAATGGAAAGTGTTTATATTTGCTCTGACTTATTTTCGGATGCTCTTGTTACTGGGATAAGATATTCCTGGAGGAGTCAGTAAGACAAATAGAAGGGGCTGGGATGATGACTCAATGAGTAAATTGTATGTTGTGCAAGCATGAGGACCTGAGTTCAGATCCCCAGAACCCATGTAAAAAGCTGGGTGTGGCCACGCATGTCTATAAGCCCATCACTGGGGAGGTGGAGACAGGAGGGCTTCCTGGGGATTGCTGGCTAGCCAGTCTAGCTGAACAAGTGAGCTCCAGGTTCAGTGAGAGACCTTGTCTGAAAAAAAAGGTAGTGAGTGATTGAGGAAGATACCTGACATCAATCTTTAGCCTCTACTCATACACAAACAGAGATAACCAGATACTTTAGGGGAAATACCATAATACAAAATTAGATATATAAATATTGTGGTTCCATTCTATCTAAACTGTCTTCTTAATATACTCTATTAATTTTAGGAAATAAAACTGATGTTGTGAGTTAACAGTACCAACTCTTTACCTTTACCATTTACTGGACACACTTTCAGAAGCCTTCTTCATTTTTTTTGTTCTGTTTTTTTGTTTTTGAGACATGGTCTCATAGTCCAGACTGGCCTGGAACTCAGAATCCTCCTGCCTTGTCTCCAAAGTGCTGAGATTACAGATATGCACCACCACGCCTTGGACTCAAATATTCTTCTAATTAAAGTCAAGATATATGGACTGTTGAGTAAAACATAACCACTTACTTTGACAAAGTTTATTTTTTGTTTCTTTGATAGATCAAAGGGATTTCCCTATCAACAGCTCTTCATTCAGAACATTTTCAGAGAAAACTACAAGGAAATGAGTTTGTTTTCCATTGTTAGGGCTCCGATCCCTTTCCCTCCTCATTAGCACTGCTTCATTGTTACTTGTGCTTTGCACACTCTACTTCAGGAAGCCACACAGAAACTAACCAACCATATCTGCTGAAAAGGGAGAAAAAGAAGGGAAGAGTTGAAGAAACACTTGTGTTTCACTAAGTGATTTGGGAACAAGATAAAACACAAAAAATTTTAACAACAAACTTTTAAAAATAATTAAGTGACCCAAGAGTATAAATTTACCTTTAGCTTCAATGGTTAAAAAAGATAATTTCTTAAACTTTACAGTTCTGCTGGAAAATCTTCCAAGATTACGTGTGTAAATAAATGCCTTCTATTTGTCTTTCCTAGCGTTTCATACTCAGGCATCTTCACGGTTCGAATCCATGAGTCATTTTTGAGTCATTCCAACTCCAGTTCATGTGACTTAAGAATGACTTTGGGTTACTTATGAACTGAGGATGGTCTCAGATCAATGAAAGCCTTCAGGATTTACTTAAGCCATTTCCATTCCTTGTTCCCTGCCCTTCCATACCTTGTTAAATTTTACTCATCCTTAGATGGCAATCTAAATAGCATTCTAACCAGGAGGCTTTTTATCAACCTCTGAGGTCAGACTAGGTTCCTCTTTGGACTCATCCCATGTATCCTGTGCTTTCCTGTTATTATGTTTATGGCATTTCATTGTGATTATTGCTCAACTGTCTGAATTACCAGCTAGACTGTAAGTCCTGTGAGGGCAGGTGCATTCTCTGTTTCATACCCAATGTCTTGACACTAAGATACATTTAAATAAAAAAGTATTCATAGTGCAAATAAAAGGAAATTAAAAATTTATAGAAAAGTGAATCTTAAATAAAGTTTGTAAAGTCAAGATAAGAGAAATAAAATAAACCTTACCTGAGCATTCGGTGGAGTTTATGAGGTGTCATCCCACATCCATCATCAGTAAAAGTCAAACAAGATTTATTTTTGACCTCCTCCACATCTATGAAGACCGTCCTGGCAGAGACATCTGGATCCACAGCATTATCTGCAAGAGGTAGAAATCTGGGATATTAGATCCCCCTTTCCAACACTCTATCAAAATCTCTAGTTCAGTGTCAAGACATGAAAACTGTCATTGATTCCTCTCATATGGATGTCCCAGACACTCAGGAGGGTCATTAATAGCACTGCACTAACTGAGTTATGGAGAACAAGTGACATGATGGCAGATGGTGCTACAAAGCTGGTTTCCACTTTTCACATAATAGATGATCTGCATTCTGACTTTCTCCCTTTAAATGTCAGGATCTATAAAAAATTACTATATACCAAGAATTTTGCTTTGATTTGGCTTTATTACTTCTTGACTTTTAGCTTATTGCTTATAAATACATACTGAAAAAAATGGGTGCAGTGAAAAAGCTGAACTAACCATTTTGGTAAAAATAGATGCATCTTATGCACATTCGTTTATCTGCTATAATTTTATTGTTTCCTATTTTATATCACCTCCTCTGTTAAAGAACACAAGTATTCTCACTGTCCCTGTTTATAGTATAAGGGTCACCAAAAGAGTCAGAGGTTAAATGCAAAGCATTTGATTGTCTGCCTAAATCCCAGTGACAGCAGCAAGCCTGCTTAGCAAGAAGGAGAAATTCTGCTGCTTTTCTCTGTATTAAATGTGAGACTGTCTACCCTCTCATGAAAGGGAGAACACTGAATCAAAGTAGACAAATACACAGAAAGTTTCATAGTTCCTCCTAAAGTACATCTTCACAATGGACTAATTATTTAAGATTCCAAAGACTTCAAACTTAACCATATTCAAAGTGCCATGTCCTCAATGGCATAGAGGACCACTATCTGAAAGGCCACATCTTTTGCCACAGGTACCAGTTTACACAATTACCAGTCACTGACATATGTGGCTTAATAGTCTCATTATAGCTCACTGGCCCGATTAGAAGCATATTCTGTACAATCTGTTGGATAATACTATTGTTTGGATATGGTTTATCCCCTAAAGACTTAAGTTCTGGAAGCTTCTCCAGTCTGTTGATGTTGAGGTGGTGGAACCATTAAGAGGCATGGTCTAGTAAGGCAATTAGATCACTGTGGATGCTCCTCTTGGAAGGGACTAATGTGTCTACTCTGAAAGGCTTGGATTAGTTCCCACTAGAATGGGTTGTTATAATCCAGGGCCACCCTGTGTATTTGGGTCCTTCTGATTTCTCTCACATGATGTGATGCCCTGTGATGCAGCAAGTGGGCTCTTGCAAGGATGATGGCACTTTTTGAAGCCCTTCAAATCATCAGAATTGTGATCCAAATAAACTTCTTTATTTAGTTTTTATAGTTTATTTATTATTTTTATTTATTTTATATATGAGTGTATTGCCTATATGTATGTAAGTGCACCTATCGTGCAATGCCCATGGAGGTCAGAAGAGGGCATTAGATCTCCTGGAACTGGAGTTACACATGGTTATTAGCCACCATGTGGGTGCTAGGACCCAAACCTGGGCCTTCTGCAAGAGCAGCCAGTGCTCTTAACTTCTGAGTCATCTTTCCAGATGAAAACTTCTTATAAAATACTCAGCCTTACATATTTTGTTATAATTACACAAATGGTCTTAATACAGATAAGTACCAAAATCATTTCTATTTCTACTAGCTCTTTAAGTAACACAGAGACCTTCCCTTCCACTCCCTTCTCTTGCTGTGATGTTCTTCATGGCTTTACTAGTACCACATGGCTGGCTGAGAGAACAATGTGGGGTCCTGATTATATATATATATATATATATCCGTACCATTATCACAGATCAAATCACGTCATTCACTGGGAATATCTCTTACAATCCAGAAAAGTGTTATGCTTATTAAGACACTCATTTTTACAATATAATTAATAACAACAGTTACAACCACTGATGTGTGGAACATCTGCCAAATAAAACGACACAGATTAATTTCAAGTGTTACAATGCTGCAAAAGTCATTGATAAAACTGTTACTGATGCCTTTAATCCCAGCACTTGGGAGGCAAAGGCAGACAGATCTCTGTCAGTTCAAGGCCAGCCTGGTCTACATAGTTAGTTCCAGGACAGCTGGGGCTACAGAGGGACCCTGTCTCAAAAAGACCAAAACAAACAAACAAAAAAAAATTGTTACTGTCTATAATCTGAACAAGATCTGAACAGCAGAAAGGCATCACCTATAGTTCCTCAAGAGGGTTATGTCAATCTTTGAGGTCCAGGTGGGACCTAAGACCCATATAAATGTGCCAATGATAAGTGGGATAGCTCTGGGCAAGAGTTACAGTTGGTTGACAAGCAATGCAACTTTAGAGGAAATATAATTTTTCACATTTTAAGAGGCAGCAGGGTTTTTCCCCCTTAAACAATAGAAGAACCTAGCCTTGTGCAGGTGTCAGCATTCAAGAAATTTTCCTTGGCATGCAGGCTCTTATCAGTCAGTCTTGCTTGCTGGTAGACAGCCAAAGCCATCGGGACCAATACAACTTGACATCATTTATACATGGAGAACGATGGATATGAAGGACGTTTTTCTAGTAGTTTATGGATAGTCACAATTCAAACACATAACACATACTGATTCCAATTACACATTTATCCAATGGGTCATCAAATGACTCAGTTTATGGGACTCTAAGAAAATCACTCCCCTTTTCATCTCTATTGAAGGTTTTGGCTGAACTTTACTAGGTGCCCACTGATCTGGGCACTTGATGAATTACACAGTAGATACCAGAAGCAGTGAGACATGAGCTCAAGGTCATGAAATCCAGGAGTATGGTGCACACTAGAGGCTGGGGTTAGTGGAACAAAGGGGAAAGGGAGATCGATAGGCAGGAATTGACAAGCAGAGATTTGTACTTATTTTCTGTTTTATGTGGCCTCAGCTATAACACAATTGGCCTCAGTAGATGAACTTACAATAATTAGGAATTAACAAGGCAAGTAATTTCAATTCTTCTTCTTGCTGTTTATCCAAGAATTGGATGACAAGTAGCATATTCTATCAGATCCCAAGAAATTTTTTACCCTAGCCAAACCCATATCGACTATGAACAGATAAATCAGTGAGATCACCCTTGCTCTTCTCCTTTCGCCAACTAGTTCAGCAAGAGCTGCATCATCATATCCTGGTGTGTCTTCATCTGTATAATATTCAGGGAGTCTTATCTCACCTATGCTGGTCTATGCCCTCGCTTCATGAGAGGAGCGCTATCTCTATCTTCCTTTCACCCACCACTTTGGCAAGAGCATGAGAATCCTTACACCCTAACCTGGTCCACACGAGCTGGTCTACACCGCTCCTTGTTTTCTAAGTGTGCTGTAATTGAAGCATCATACCTCAACAGAATCCACTACTTCAAAGCCATCTCACACACTCCATTTTCTCTCTTTTGGAGGCCATTATTGAACAATTTGTCATTAGCCCCAGGTTCCGTTCCAGTACCTGAATATACCAGCAAGGTTGCAAGGACCAGCCTGCTGCCTTACAGACAATCTGCAAATAGCTGGAAGTATCCTCACCTGAAAGTCAAGGGTTCAGCTACGGTCAAGGCTATCCTTTCTCTCTGTTTCTCTCTCTATTTCTCTCTGTTTTTCTCTGTCTCTGTTTCTCTCTCTGTCTCTCTCAAATACACACACACACACACACACACACAGTTCCAGCATTCAAATGACAAGTTTGAATTTCAAAAGTCATTTGGGGACTGAGTTGTAGCTCAGTGGAATACTTGCCTAGCATGTGTGACATCATGCGTTTGATTCCCAGTACGGCAGAAAAGGTCATTTTTAATCCCTCTCTCTTCCTGCTCTATACATCGCTTGGTTCTGTTAGATCTTGTCTTTTCTATTCACATACTCATTTTCTCAGTTTACAGGGCTCATTCTCTCTCATGTTTATTATTGCAACAGCTTCACAACTAGTCTTTCAAATCCATGTCTCACTTATCCAATCTATCTTATACTGCTGTAAGATTATCCTGAAGCATAGCTCTCCTTATGATGTCTCCTCATCAGAAAAATAGGCCAAATGTCAACACTCCCAGTAACATCCTGGTTATGCTCACCTTTCTAACTTCATTTCCTACTTGGAATTTGGAGTTAAATAGAACTGTATTTGAGTCATGAACCGGCCACTTACTAGACATGTAAACTTAGAAAAGTACACTAATTCTTTGAACCTCTGTTTCCTCATCTGTGGAAAGAAAAAAAAATTACTCACTTCAAAGAACAAAACTAAAAAGATATTTGTGAAAGTTATTTGAAAACTCCTTAAAGATTTATAGTTTTTACTACTTGTGAACTCAATGCGATAATTAAATTCAAGGACCTGGTAGGCATTCTTCAGGCTTTTGTCCATCCAGTTGTTTCTTTTGACTGGAATGTCCTCCCCCTACCATAGGCCACATGTCCAAATCCTTCAAATCTCTGTTCAAATGTCACCTCCTCCACAAAGCCTTTCCTAGCCCTCTGTTCCTGATAAACTGGAAGTCATTCCTCTTTCCTCTGGACTTCTACAGCGCACTTCCACATGTCTTTTTTGACATATCATTTTCTACTTTGTTGTTACAGAAAGCATAAACCTTCTTACATGTCTCATCTTCTCTATTAAAGGAGTGAATTTTTATTATATACACTTCTTGTATCTACCACAGTGGCACTGTACGCAGCAGTTACATAATGAATATTTACTGAATGAATGATTGTCTAGAAAACATAATGCATAAATAAACAAAACTGTCGAAGGAAATCCCAAAATGAAAGGTTTGGATTAGCAGTTAACATTCTGATATCACTTTTCCATGTTAATATTATCACTAACATTTGTGCCTTAGTTTTAAGATCTGCTGTTGTACACGTGCATTTATGTGTGGTTTGTTTGGTGTGTGTATGTGTATATATAAGTTCACACTCAGGATACTCATCACTAGGTCTAGGTTCTTTAAATTAACGCCTAAGAAAATCATATAGAGAGTCTGGTGTGGTAGCGCACACCTGTATTCCAGTACTTGGGAGGCAGAGGCAGGGGGATTTGTGCAAGCTGAAAGCCATCCTGATCGCCATAGCAAATTTCATGCCAGCCAGGGCTACATAGTGAGACCCTATCTCAAAAAATAAAAATAAAAAACCTCAGGGTATAATTCAGTGGCAGAGCACTTGTTTAGCATCCATGAGGTTCTCGGTTCAATTCCTAGCACCACAAAAAAAATGAAGAAGACAATAATGCATTTCAAGATTCCAAATGAATATTCAGTAAATCACTTAAGTTCAACACACACACATACAACACATGTACAAGCACAGTGCAACTGTGAAAGAACAGGCTGCTCACAGCACATTTCTGTCTTCCATCTCCCACTAGATGGTTAAATTTCCTCTTTTTGTCTTTTGAAAAGAATTTGCATGCACATAGATCTCATTCGACTGTGCAGAGGTTCAATGTAGAGATAGTGCACAACTGTAAAGATATAGTCCCTGTTGTCTGGAAATAAAGGCTATCAAAGCCACTTTCTCCCTGGACTTTCTACAAGACAACTGGCAAGCTACAATATAAAAAGCATTTTGGGTTATAGCCAAACTAATCATCAAAATTCTCCATCACCTTCCAAATAACTCTCTTGACTCTCTTCCTGTCGCCCACCGACATCTTTACAAAAACAAGTCTCGCCACATGGCCACAGTGATGGCTTAACTACCCACTGGGGTTCATTGACGCAGCTTTGAAACCATTTTCCAGATTTTGTTCTGTGCTAAGTAGCCCCATAAATCTCTCTCCCTTCTTTCAATTTTTGAAATGTTTATAATATGCTCTGTGTGCTGCTGAATTTTGTGCAGAATTGCCTGTCTTCCTTGCTTTCCACACAGTATTTAGCATATTACTGCAAAGGCTGGTGTAGTGAGCTTCAATGAATCCACTGAAAATGCTTTCAAAGCAAGCACTCCTGCAGCAGCAAGAGGTTAAGTCCTCGGTATTCATTCCAGCGGTGTGAGGGCGCTGGTGGACTACCGACCCAGCCCTCCGCAGTCTCAGGGAGCCAAATGCACTCGTGTCATCTCTTAAGAGATGTCCCATCATTCCTAGACTTTCTTGTCTCCAAACTTAAAGAACTCTTATCCAAATCTTTCCAACGACACTACACGGTCCTCCCCCAACAGCTGGACGTCCTCTGTGGGCTGCCAGTCGCTGTCGAGCCCAGCCGCCTCAGGGGCCCTATATTTTTATGCATAGCTTTTGGATTATTAACTAAGTATCCTAAAGTGCCCAGAACATCACAAACCACAGAACAACAGCGCTAGAACCTTAACTCTTCCTACACACCTTGTTTGCTCCGCTGTATTGCCGGGACCTAGTCTGGGGGCGAGAAAGCCCCAACAGTCCTCCGCGGGGCCAGGGCGGGGGCCGAGGTCCCCAGCCCTCCCTAGCCCTCCCCAGTCCGCCCGCCCCACGCGCCTCTCCTCTGGCATTCCTCTCGCGTCCGCAGCCCCACGCTGGCACCCAAAACAAGCGCCGGGCCGCCCTGCCACTCACCTAGCAGCTCCGCGATGGCACTGAAGGGGCGCGTGTGGCTGCTGGAGTTGCTCTGCAGGTAGCGGGGACTCATCTGGGGGCGAGAGAAGGTCCCGTCCCGCGTGAGGCCTCGGGCCGCCGGGCCCTCCCAGCGCCCCGCAGCCCGCCCCCTCGGGGCCCCCCACCTACCGTGCTCAGCCGGATCCCGAAGGCCTGCGGGGCACTGCCGGCCCGGGCCAGTCCTCCACCGTGCGCGCCAGGGCCCGCAGGGGCCCCTCGGTACAGAAGCATTTTTTTGGCCGCCAGGATACTCGTTGGCCGCCGCCGGACCCCCTCGGCCGGCCGTCCACAGCGATCCTCGCTCTCTCCCACTCGCAGCTGGCGGCCGCTGTCCCGGACTGGCCCTCCGTCCGTCCTTCCCACTCGCAGCTGGCGGAGGCGGGGCACGCCGCAGCCACCTGTCCCCAGCGGGAGGGGTGAGGCCGGCGGAGCCCAGCGGCCGCCCCGCCCTGTCTGCACCTCTCCCGACCCACCACTGCCCGGGCTGCCCCTGGGCCGTACAGAAATATGGCGACCTCCTGACAGACGCTCAGTGATCCCCGCCCCTAATTAATTCTTGCCGTTTGCCATAGGCCAGGCGGCGGAGCGGGAAAAGCGCGAGGGGGTGGGGGTGATGGCGGTGCGTGGGGAGGGGCGGGAATGAGGCAAGAGGAGGGAGAGCGTGCATGGGATTTCTGGAGTCCCACTTAGGCTGCATGACTAAGGGGCAGGATAAGACAAGTCTTTTAAATTCGAAGAACTACAGCTTTGCTATCTGGAAAGATAGCAGGTTCCAGCAGAGGGAGAGCATTCCTACTAGCTGCTTCGAAAGTCTTTGAAAACACCCAGAACTTTCTAGAACGCAATTGGCAAGCTGCCTACCAGTCCTTGCAAGCATGTAGAGAAACTTTATTAAAGGAGAAATTGAATTTACTTACTGCCAAAGATGGGAAATAGGGGATTGGTTAAATTATTGATTATTCATGCAATAAAATAATATGCTACTTTGTATCTGTGTGCACGTGCCCAGCTGCTGTGTGCGTGCAGTGTGCATGCAGCATGCCACGTGTGTGTGTGTGTGTGTGTGTGTGTGTGTGTGGTGTGCCTGTGCGAAGTGTGTGCATGCATGCACCTTGTGCATGTGCTTCACTGCTGTGCCCTTGCGTTTGAAGACCAAAAATTCTCTTGGGTTAGAGTAGAAGCACGATGCCGCCCCCATGCTTGCGTGGGAAACAAGTACTTTAACCACTGTGCAATCTCCCCAGCCCCTAAGTAATATGCAACTTTTATTTAAAAGAAATCATTTTGAGGCTTGGAGACATGGCTCAGCAGTTAAGAGCACTGGCTCCGCTTGCAGTGGATTGTTTGCTGGCCATCACCCACATGGCTGCTAACAACTGTCTAATTCCAGTTTCAAGGAATCTGACACCCTCTTCTGGCCTACCCAAGCATTTAATGCACATGGTGCACCTACATACATACATGAAGCAATCCACTCACATGCATAAAATAAAAATAAATAAGAGAAATTTTTAAAAAAGTATTTTGAGCCAGGATCTCACTATATGTAGCCCTGACTTGCCTGGAACTTACTGTATAGACCAGACTGGCCACAAACTCACAGAGATCCACCTGGCTCTGCCTCCAGGGTGCTGGGATTAAAGGTGTGCACCACTACACCTGGCTGCCCACTTTTTTTTTTTTTTACAAAAACACAGGATCTCATTACATAGCTCTGGCTGGCCTACAATTCACTATGTAGAACAGGCTGACCTTGAACTCACACAGATATACTTGCCTCTGCATCCCGAGAGATGAGATTACAAGAGTGGGCCACTACATCTGGCAACATTTAAAAGCCATGATTGTAGGTTAATCTACATTTATAATCCTATGGTGACCAAATGAGTATGGGTAGCATGTTCTCTTGACATAGCTATCATTTTTTCTTCTAGTGTTGGCACTGAACCAGGGCTTTTAGCGTGTCAAGTTAGTACTCCACCACTAAGCCTCTTGACATAGCTATCTTTTTTTCTTCTAGTGTGTGCACTGAACCAGGGCTTTTTTCGTGTGAATTTAGTTCTCCACCACTCTGCTATATATCTCGTTTTGTGTGTGTGTGTGTGTGTGTGTGTGTGTGTGTGTGTGTTATGTGTAGAGGGGTCTGGAATGTAGATGTCAGCATTGTGTATCTTCCTCAGGCATTATTCACCTTATTTATTTTTATTTTATATATTTATCTTTATTTTATATTAAATATTATTTATACTTTATATTCATGTTTTTATTTACATTTAAATTATTATTGGATGCATGAGTGTTTTGCCTAAATGTATGTAAAGTGTGTGCCTTGTGCTTGGAGGGGCCAGTGTTGAATTCCCAGTTGTTAGCTACCCAATGTGGGTGTTGGGAACGTATCCTGGGTCCTCTGAAGAAGCAGTCAGTGCTCTACCTGCTGAGTCACCTCTTCAGCCTCTACCTTACCTTTTTTTTTTAATACAGAGCTCATCAACTCAGGCTGCCTGGCCAGTGAGCTCCAGCGATCCACCTGTCACTACCTCCCTACCACCTCAGTATTAGGGTTATATGACATTATTAAGTGGGTGCTGAGGATCTGAACTCAGGTCATCATGCTTGATTGACAATGGCTTTACCAATTGAGCTATCTATCTAGCCTTCCTTTGTTTGTGTTCATGTGTGTATATGTTCATGTGGGAGGGGGGTTCATGTGTATGAGTGTGGAAGCCAGATATCAACCTCGGGTATCATCCTGACTTGTGTTTTGAGACAGGGTTTCTCAGTGGCCTGGAACTCGCTAAGTAAGTCTAGGCTGATTGATCCCTGGGACCCAGAAATCTGTCTGACCAGTGGCAGGATTACAAGGTTCTGGGCATGGAACTCAGGTCCTTATCCTTGCATAGCAAGGACGTTCCCAACTGACCTATCTCTGCAGACCCCTCGTCTTTTGACACAGATTCTTAGTATATAGCTCAGGCAGGCTTCAAAATCTTCCTTCCTCAGTCTATGCTGGGATTATAGGTGAGGCCCACCAGGCCCACCACTACATTTATCTTTGTGATGAAAACATTAAAAATTTCCAGCTATTTTCAATTTTATAATACTTAATTGATCAACATAGATACCTTATTATGCAGTAGAATACCGTAATTTATACTTTCTGACTATATACCCATTGACTAACCTCTCCACATGCTTGCTGTTCAAATCAGTCCCCAGTTTATGCAGTTAGATGCTGATGTTGAGTCCATGTTTTAGATATTGTGAATACTATTACAGCAGACATAGGAGTGCAGATGTCCCCTCTTCTATGTAGTGATTTTATTTCCTTTGGCTATGTACCCATTATTGGGATTTTGTAATTACATAGTATTTCTATTATTTTTACTTCTTTTGATGAACCTCCATACTTTTTTTTTCTTAATGGGTGTACTAATTTGCATTCTCACCAACAGTTTGTAAAAGATTGCTTTTCTGTACATCCACACCAGCAATTGTTATCTTTGTCATTTTATCATTCTAACTGGAGTAAGGTGTTATCTCCTTGTAATTTTCATTTTAGTCATGCTGAAATTTTTTATGGACGTAGGACATCACACATGCTAGGCCAGGCCCCTGCCACAGAGCAGTATCTCCAGCCCACTTTTTTTACCTTTGACAGTGTCTTTCCCTGACTGGACTTCCAATTTACAATCATCCTTTCTCAAACTTCCAAATAGCTGGAATTACAAGCTTGCGCCACCAAGCCCAACTAAGCATTTAAAAAATAACCTATTGGTCTTTTGTATATTCTTTTAGAAGTGTCTATTAAGGTCTTTTGCCCATTTTAAAAAGAAGATTATTTTAATATAGTTTTTGTTGTTGAGTTATTTCAGTTCCTTTTGCATTCTGTATATTAATCCCCCTTATGAGTAGTTATTGATACAGAAAATCATGAGGAATTAAGGAAATATATTACAGCATATTGTGTATTGTGCAGATGTTTCATCTTGATGGAAACATTCACTCCTTGAGGGTGAGGGGAGATCCACAAGGTTCATGAAGCTCACAAGAAACTTATAAAACTCTCCTCCATAAGGCTTACAAAACTTACAAGACTAAGGGACTCTCTAGGTTGGAGTTCTATAGATAATAGACAATTGTAGGGGAAGAAAAGACACGTCCTGCAAGTTGCCAAGATTTCTCCAGTGATGCAGCTTTTTGTGAGTTGTCACCCAGGCTAGGTTGAGGTTTTTCTGCAAGGCAGCTGCCCAAATCACCCACGTTTCTCTATGTAACCTTTCAGCCATGCTCTCATAAGTAAACCCAGTAAACTCAGTTCATTCAGCTGGGTTTGAATGGAATCAGTTATTTGATCTGAACTTGCCTTCTCTATATGACACGAATAGAAATAGACTCCACAGG